AGTACTAACGATGGAGTTTCTGATATTGGAATATTGGTGGTGGAAATAATTTGGGACAAGAACACCCTTTCTAGTAATAATGGGGTTTGGGGGCATAATTTTCACATAATTTATAATACTTATATAGTCTCAAACTTTCCAAAGTCCTCTCAGAAATATGATTTTTGTTTGCTTCCCACCAAAAGCCAAAACGAGACGGGGAAACCAGGCACGTCCAATGGATCAATAAGGAAATCGAGTCATTGAGAAATCACACGACTTACTCTCAGTTGTGCAGTCAGTGCGAGACGGAGCCGGGACTTTGACCCGGATCTGATGCTGAATCCCTGTTTTCTCCGTTAACCGTAGAGGCAATCAAGTACGTGATCTTCAGTTTCAATTTTCCAACGGCCTCTTTGAAGCCAAGATGTAGTATGACTTTGGGGACAGTAGAAGGTCACCCCAGGGGTGGGGAGTCCTATAAACTCCTCTCTTTGTGGTAAGCTGAAGCTGGGTGCAGGTTGGGGTGACAATTGCTTCCACCTGCTCAAAAATAGAAAAGATTGTCGCTGCTCTTACCAGTGCCACCACCACAGTCAGCACACGGAGGCTGCAGAGAGCCCGAGGGAGAGAGGCCAGCAGCCAAGGACAAGGGCCCTGCCGGGCGGTTCCCTAACCTTGTGGTTCTCCCTGCAACACTGTTCTCATTGCTGCTCAGAGAACAAAATCATGTCCTCCCCACAGCGGGAGAAACAGGGTCTGTCAAAGTGTGGTCCCCAGGACTACAGCATCTGACTCGCCCGAAAGTGCTGGGGAAAAGCAGATTCCCCGGGCACCTCACCCCCTCCCTCCAAGCTACCCCCACATTGTCTAGTCCAGGTCTCTGGGGCTGGGCCCAGGAATGTGCCCTTGTAGCAAGCTCCCAGGAACTCTGTTTTGAACATTCAAGTTTAAGAACTATTTCTCTGGAGACCAAATTAGAACGTGAGAACACTAATGAATACTCACTTTCGAAAGACCTTGCGGAAAACACGTCAATGAAAGCTGTTTTATGGGATTCCTTTTACAACTCTTGTCATTCCTTATCTTAAAATCATTTGGTGAATTTAAAAAGTCATGCAAACCTGTGCATATATCATTTCACGTAGATGTATAAATGTGATCTATATCTGCATACAGGCTAGTTTTGTTTCTTTTCTTTCTGCACCCCGTTCACCCCCTTTCTCTCCACGACTGTCTGCTCTGATCTCCTGCAGGTCCCAGTAATCTGCACCGCAACCCAGTCTCGAGCCTCCCTTGTGAGCACGCGTGCGCACATGCACACTCACGTCCTCACACCTAGATGGGGAGATGCAGCGTTCTGTATCTTGTTTTTCTCACTCAACAATACCCAATAAAAATCTTTCCACATTATAAGGTTGAACTCCAATGTATTCTTTTAAATGATTGCCCATGGTTTCATACAGATGAATCGTAACTCATTCAATCATTCTACTACTGACAGACATTTGTTTCAATGAGTCTGCTCCTATGGACAATGCGGCAATGAACATCTTTGTATTTTTTATGTATGTCATTTCTAGGGGATAGACTTTTAAACATAGGATAAAAACTGCATGTGTTTGCTAATGTAATAATTAATATTCATATTTTGCATATTATATTACATGTGTTTTTACTTTTAACAACTCTATCTCGCTAGCCTTCCAAAAAGATAATATTTTAACTAGTAATTCATATGAGTATTCTCTTTTACCTTTACACTTCTCATTATAGAAATATGCATTGGCAAAAAATGTATTTGGTTACATAAATGTATCGTATTGAATTTTTACACGTTCTTCATTTTACAATATTCCAACTTTTCAAGTACTATTTGAGTGTTACTAATATTTCATATCACAAGCAAATAATAAATACTGAGTTCTGGTGCAATACTGGTGTAACCAAGAAACAAACAGAAGCAACATACAAATCAAAACATAAACAGGCTGCTTCAATGAGGCTACCCTCCCAATATTTTAGATTTCAGATAGATGATAGATAGATAGATAGATAGATAGATAGATAGATAGATAAAAAGCCTCCAATATTTGTCCTGCTTTGCCAACAGCTAAATCTGGTAGGGCCAGTTTCTCTGCATCTATAAATATGCAAGACCAGTCAAGGTCAAAGAACATTTTCTGAGAACAATAGCTATTCTCTCTCTTTTTTTTTTTTAATGACCCTGGTGGTGGGGTGGGGTGACCTTGCTAGGACCCACACTTCGCCCAGTTCTTGTTTGATCTGAACATCTCTAAGTTTCCAGCAAGGCATCGAGGTGCACAATTTACCTATGGCCAAGTCCAAAGTGCCATTTAAAGTTCCTAGGAAATGGCAGGTTTGAAAAATGAGAGTTTAAGGGAGACAAGAGCAGTAGGAAAAGGGGTAGAAGGAGGTCTGGAGAGGGGAGAGAGAAAGCGTTAGGTCTGGGAGCTAAAGGGGGAAAAACCAGCTTAATTATAGAAGAAAAGACACACACATAGGATAGCTCACACAGGCAGAGTTGCTGTGGAAGCACATTCCAGGAAAATCTTAAGAGATTACTTTAATAATAAACCATGCATTCTTCAGCAAGCCATCACGGGATTAACTACCCCTTTCCTAGGCTGGGAATGCAGTCGTCAGTTTCATTTTTTCCTTCTCCCTCACAGGCAGGTTTTGTGCACAGAAGAGTCATGCAAGGACCAGAGTTTTAAACATTGTATTGAATTTTCCTCACCTTCATTTTCTAAACATTCCTTTCTGCGGTGCTGAGAAAAGAGCACGGCTTAGGCCGGGTTAACGTCTGGGTGGTTTGGCTGTGATTCTCCCGCTGCAAGGATGTTCATTTTAGACCTTGGAAATGTGAACAACTCCGAAGAAATGAAGATTGTGTTCCACCAGGGATAAGAAGGGTTAAATTGATTTTCTCTTTTTCCTCGTGAGCAGGACACTAAAGTACTGCCAGAAGCAATATCAGCGCCTTAGAGAATAAAAAGACACTTCAAATAGAGTTCTCCTCTGTCGACTTGAAGATTTCTGCGTGAAATGACAGAGCTGTCCATTTGAAGCTGAACGCGTGAGCCCACTGCTAAAGGAACTGTTTTTATCAAAGTCTTTTCTTCAAACTACAGCTCATTGCAGATGAAATCATTTTCTTCCTCCGGCTTCTCAGACAAATCTTTTCCATTCGGTGGGGTAGAGCAAACATAAGTTAACATTTCTCAGTCAGAGTGGTTTGATTTAAAAACTAGGTTTGGGTGGTCACTTCTGAGTTGAGAAAGTATTCTGTACTGAGGGTTCATAGAAAGCCGTTTTTGTTTTTAATTGTCATAGCTTTTATTTGCCTGGAATCAGCTGTCATTTCTTCAGCTGCTTAACCTGAGAAGTGAAACCAGCCTTCTGGAAAGTCAACTGTATGTCTTGAGACGTACCAGATTCAAACTTTTCTGCATAAATGTTAAAAATGCCATCCTAAGACTAAAATTTACCTCTTGTCGTTTACATTTTTTTTTTAAATAATAGCAAATTACCTCAGAGGAACATTGGAAACTGTCAGTGAAGCCCCCTTACCGCTGTACCCCAGGTGCGAGGGGGTAAGACAGGTGGCAGGACAGAGGAGCCCAGGAGAGGCGGTCATTGTCTCCAGGCTGGGCTGCTCAATGCCCCCAGCACCCCGGCTGTTCCAGGTCTGACCTACTTGAGAGCAGGGGCTGCCCCTCACATTGAGCTGCCCCAAATTACACAGTGGCTTTGCAGTCGGGGCCAGGCTTGGACCACAAAATACATCCTTGGTGTCCCATGAGCCCGATTTGAACCCCCAGTTTCCAGAGGTACAATGCGAATCCGCTGTGTGTTGCTTACTCCATCAAATCAATAACCCCTTCCCATCCAACTCACAGTGTGGCGTGTTCACATGTAGTGCACACCATCTCCAACTTGAATAAAAGTGGGGGGAAGGACAGAGACATGATGTTCACAAGAATAACATCACGATTCTTAAAAAGCACCGGAGCTTCTGAGGGATGTTTTGCAAGCGTCCATGATTTTAAAATGGGGAGAAAATGGATTCCCAGCTCCTGAAGGTTCGCTAAGATGTGCCATGGGGTGCCTTCTCCTGCTCGGCACTGTATGTCAGTATTTTCAAACATTTTGTTTCTCACGCTTCCCACTTTTCATAGACGAGTAGGAAACACCATGGACATGGGTACGGATGAAGTCCCGCTAGGCTGTCTACACATGGATGTTATATACCGCCGGCGAAGCTGGTACATAATCAGTTTAGGCCAGTATAGAGCTTATTTAGATAGGTTCTATAGACACGCACATTTCTGTTTATATCGATTTCATGAAAGAGTATTGTTTTTATATCTGTATATACAGGGTCACATTTCATACATAAATACAGTACGTTTTACATAGACACAGGGATTTCCCGCTGGTTTAAGTGCACCCCGCCTGCCCGGGAAGAGACCCCAGGCCTTGAAGGAGGCCAGCGCGGAGAACAGCGCTCTGGGCTGGGAGCCTCTTGCCCGGAAAGGCCTGAGGGCCGCCCTTTGTTCGCGGGGACCCGGCGGCTCAGGATGGCTCCGCGCCGCACCCCGCGAGCGGCCACCCAGCGGGAATCGGTGGGCCGAAGGTCGGGGTCCCACCCCTTCCCTGCGGAGTCTCCCGACTGTCCTCAGCTGCACCCTCCCGGCCCGCGCCCGCGCCCCGCGGGCTCCGCGATCGCCCCCCGCTGGCGGGGCTCGGAGCGGGCGGCCGTCCTGGCGCGGCTGCAGCCCGAGTTAATAAACAGTTAAGTTTGGAAGACTCAGCAGACACGTTGAGGGGGAGTTACCGAGCCCAGGCAGCAAAAACATCCCGGCGCATTCCTGGGGAGTCCTCCGCTGCCAGCATCTGATTACAACCATATCTGCCGGGAGTGGCGCTCGGGCTCCCGGCCGGCGGCTATTTAAGCGCGGCCGCGGGGCTGGCGGCCGCCTGGGGCTCGGGGCGCGGGCGCGGCGGGGCAGGCTCGCTTCGCAGAGGCGCTGGCCAGCCGGTGAGTATCCCCCACCTCCTCCCTCGGCCCCATGTTTTGCGACCTCCTCCCCCCTTCCCCCCCTCCCCCCGGGGTGCAGATGTGGGGCCGCGGGGGATCTGAGAGCCCGGCCGCGGACGCGGGGCAGGCGGCGGCGGCCTGACATCCCAGGAATGCGTCCTCGGAATGCGTTTACCTTTGGGGTCGGGCTCCAGGTCCGGCTGGTGACATTTCACAAGCGTCCGCCTGTGGTGTGTGTGTCTGTGTGCCTGTCTGAAGGTTCTGCGGGCACCCTGCTAGGACTCCCTCCGGGGTGGCTGCTGACCACCTCATCAACTCCTCCGGGGTGTTTCTTTTCGCCTCGTGACGAAGGCTGGGGACTCGGGATGTGCCCAGGAGAAGCTTTTTCCTGCTGGTTGACAACAGTATGGCATGAAAATGTGAACTTTGTCTTACGCCCGCATGAAGAAAGCATCTGCCCAGGAAACTGAACAAACTTGTTTTAAATCCACGCAGCCCAGAGCGGCTGCAGGGTGTTTGCCTGCCGTAAGCCGGCTGAGAAGGCGAAGCAGGAGTTCCTGAAGCTGGGGGGAGAATGAATGGGTTAAAGCCCCTGAGCTGCGTCCGCATAGCGGTTTTCATAGCATAGAGCCGACTCTGTTATTTGTTTCTGCGATTCTTTCTTCTTGACTTAATTCTTCGCCTGGAATGCAGGTCCCCAGTCGGTTTCAGCAGGGAGCTGTTGGCGTCCAAAGGGAAATTTAACTGGATTAAAAGCACTTAAAGAATCTGGTTGTTATCTCCACCCCCGGCACCCCCAGCCCCCCTGCACCTTTTCCTCTTTCTTTTTAGTTTGTGTTTGGAAGGAAGAGAGGCACTCTGTAAAATGAGCAGAGCAGAAATAAGCTTCCAGACACATGGAAAGACTTAAAAATTATGGAGGGGCGACTTCATGAATAGTAAATGTTGTTATTGCACTATAAAGTGACTTAATGAAAAAATTTCTGGCCCTAATCAGGCAAAGCAGGGGAGTCGGGGAGAAACGAGGAGACAGAAGTAACTCCAACAGGAGTGGCTAAGGAAAGCAGGCAGTTACAAAACTGCCTTCAAGACATCTGATAAGGCTCTTGGAATGGCTTTGATGGGAAGTATAATTGACCTCCCTTACTGCCTGGAGGTTGGCTCCCCACCCAGGAGCATCTACTGGCTGATGGGGAGGGAGGAACTAGCTGGGATGGGAGAACGTTACAGCCACCACATGGCTTGTCTCCATGCTCTATGACAGGTCCATGCGGGTTTCTTACACCAGCAGCCAGACCTTGATTAGCCGCTCTTGTCTGGGTCTGGTGCCCGCCCGTCCCAGGTGCCCTCTCTCCCTCACTGAAGGGCAGGTAAGCCTCAATAACACGGTAAGAGCGTTTCTTGTCTTGAGAAGTCAGGAGTACTAGGGATCGAGCTGTCCTTAATCTCCGGGGAAGGGCCTTTTGGGTGCAGGGCTGGGCATGTGGCAGGAAACCATGCCACACAACACAACGCCGAGTATGTGGACAGTCTAGAGAAAGCACGAAGGAGACCTAGTGGTGTGTCTCAATGTCTGTTTCGGGGACAGATTTCTTCTTCTAAATTCTGAATCAGTTTTCTCCTAAAGCAGACTGGATTCTTTTTCCTGTTGTCATTGAATAACTTAAGTTTTCCCTTTTTTCCCTCTGCCATCTCTGTCCCTTCTTATCTGGTGCCTGCCCTAGAAACCAGTTCTTCTCACACTAGGCCCTCCTATGTTTTAATGTGTGACCAGAACAAGTGGATGGTAGAGAGTGTCTTCCAGCTTTGAACTGCGACACATAGTTGCCGTTCTCATGATCTTCGACACAGTTGATCTTCACCTGAGGACTGCGCGGGTTAGAAGCCTTGCCTAATGTCTTAAAGACAACCCAGTCTGCATTTCCACTCCAGACTTTTTATAGTTTTAGATTCAACTAAAAGTCTAAATTCTTATGCATTCAGCTTATTTGTTGCCTTGCTCAAAAGGTTGAGTGGATTTCAGTCATTTCATTTGGATGGAAGGGAATCGCTTTTAAGACACTAGTTGGCATGAAAGTGGAACAGGGGTCTCTGGAAGCTGCTGGCCAGATGGTTGGGGGTGATAGCTATTGGCCTGCTTGGTCGTGCCTCAATTCCCTGAAGATTAAGAGAGCAGGGTAGCAAATGCTTTGCTGAGTGGCTCCTCGCTGGCAGGAGGCTTGTGGAGATGTCGGTTCTTGGTGGCCAGGCAAGAAGGGTACAGCTGCTTCATTTCTAATTCTACCTGCATGTGTCTGTAAGCTGAAGCCTGCTACCGCCAGTGCTTCTTACCCGGATAGTTTGGAAGACTTCATGTGCTTCTCTTCTTCGGTCTCTCCCAAATTGAGGATTTAATTGATGCTTTTCTTAAGACAAAGCTAAGATGCTGAACTACTTGAGAAGGCTGCTGCAGACTGGGCTCTCCAGGTTGTTGAGTTGCCCTCATGGTCCTCAGAACATGCCTCCCCAGGTAACAAGGCCTGAAAGCAGACTGGTTGGGGGGGGTTTGGTAACTGACCTAACACATCGGGTTTCTGCCCTCCAACAAGAACCAGCATGAGGACTAAATGAAACGCCTGAGTGCCATTTAAAATCCCCCCCGGTGCTGCTGCGTGGTTCTCATGTTGAAGTGTGCCACTGAATTGGTCAGAGGTCGGCCCAAATCACATTTCGATGAAATGGTTGTAGCATCAGGGAAATGTGTTTAAGGGAAACCTAACTCATGGGAACATTTCCCGGCTTGATTGATCGCGTGAGTCAGAAGGGAGGCGGGTCATCAAGTCTCCTCTCCTTCAAAACCGTATTAACTTCTGATCATTTGTTTCAAATGATGCTGAGTGGACACGAAGGGCTGGCCCACGCCGGTTTCTGCCTCCCTCCTCGAATGACTGGGGAGTGGGTGAGAGCGTGGGTTCTGGAGTCCCACGGCCTCCCGTGACCTCCATTCATATCCCTTCTACAGCACTGCTGCTTACCTGACCTCGGGCAGATTTCGTAACCTCTCTGTACTTAAGCTGTCTTATCTGGAGAAAATAATTGTACCTACCCCTAGGTTTGTTGGGAAGGACTTAATCTAACATGCTTAAAATACTGGATTCTGTCTGACTTAGAAATTTCTGTTTCGTCTTGCTTTTGCCCCTTGAACAACTGAATTATGTTACCTTTGTGAGAGCCGAAGACAGAATGGAGACTTTCTTTGTCAAAATTGGACATTGCTCGTCTACCTGAAAGATGTTAGTCATTCAGGCACTTAATATTAACAAAGCCAGTGTGGTGGCTGTGTTCACTCAAGGGCAGGCAGGAAGTTACTCTCTGTTCTCTGCCTGGCGACCTGCAGTGGGTTTGGTCAAGCTGACCTCCTCTGGTCTCCTTGAAGTCCCCCCACCCCCGAGACTCCCTGCAGAGAGGGGCAGCCCTTCCCCCTGAAGTCAGCATTATAGCAGAAGGAAGTGGGAAGGGAGGGCCCATCCGTGCTACACGGAGCGACTAGGCTAGAATAAAATGTCCTCCCCTCCAGGCAGCCCCATGCTGCCGGTGCCCACGTGGCCGGGCAGGTTGCCACGGTTATTCCCCTTCTCGAATCCGCCTCCTACCTTAGGAGGAAGCCTGGCACTCCAGAGTAAGAAAATCTGAACAACTTGCTTCCTGTTCTAAAAATGGAAGTTGTTTTGTTTTTGTTTTTTGTTTTAATTAAGGGAGGTAGAATCTTCTCTCTACCCACCTCAACCTTTTCCTCTTCTTCTGAAGTTATTTGACCCCTGCTACTTAGTTGACTGACTCGTAATTAATTCTTACATCATCAGGATAGCGAAACATCAAGACTTACGACATTCCAGGAACATGAAAGCTATTGCCTCAATATAGAAGCAGCCTGGCAATTTTTCTCTGCTACCATAATGTATAGCTTAGGGTACGTAACCTTGAACTGCCTAAAACTGGAAAGAATTCCGAACAACGGGGCCAGACTGAGAGTGTGTCCCGCTGTAGGGAAGTTACCAGGAGGTAGAGTGCATGAGGGTTGTCACTTAGAGTTTTTGTGGTAACCATAGAGTAAATGGAGCAGGTAGCGTAGAAAGTAACAGTCCTGAGAAATCTAGGTTTGAAATGTTGTGCAACCTGGAAGGAGTTTGGGTGAAGGGCAGGTGGTCCAAGGTTTCCTCTGGGTACAAAGCTGCCCTATTTCAAGGTGATGCAAAGTACTACAATGCAGAAGACTTAGATGTTTACGTGATGAATGAACTGACGTAAATTCACATGTAAGAATCAAATTAATTGAGTCTTCAACATTGGATACTTGGTTTGTGATGTGTGTATTTCACAGCCTGAGAGAACTCATCTAAGACAGTGATTCTGAGTGTGGTCCCCAGACCAGCAACGTCAGCATCACTTGGGAACTTATTAAAAATGCAAATTCTTGGTTCCCACCCCAAACCACTGAACCACACTCTAGCACTAGGGTCCATCCAACTGTATTTCAACAACCTCAACACATGATCTAAGAGTAACTTTCATAATTCAGTTGTTTTATAATTCAGTTGTTCCGTGGAAAGCAAAACAAAGTATCCGATTTCCTACAGTCATGGACATAAAGCAAAGCATTTGACTATAGCCCAGTTTAACTGAATCTTGGGAGCAGGGAGATGAAAAAGCACAGAACTTAACATGTTTCCTACTATCTCAACTACTGCTTTCTGGGCCCTAGAAAAACCTATGTACTCCTTAATTTTCTACTATCACCTCACTTCCAAATCCTTTTCCCTCCTCTGGGGTTTTAAAAGATCATAATTAATTTCCATTTATTAGGAGACTGTCCGAATTACTTCTTTAAGAAAAGATTCCAGTAAACCAGATCATTACCCTAGAACCAGATGGTTTTCTCTAACCTATAAAACTTTTTATTTTGTTTTTCATGCCATGCCCAGAGAGCAGATGAAGGCCCCTCCAAATTGGTAAATGAATCT